ATAAGTTTTTTTTAAACTACATATTACTAGTCTGGTTGAAGCTTTCCTTCAATAAAAGTTTAAGACCTTGTCTATATATTAACTCTCAAATTAGGTTTTACATTAATGACCGGAATAATAATCTTACATTTAAGGACAATATTAACTATCCAATTAGGTCTTACATTAAAGACTGGAATAATAAATTTGTTAATTTTTTTTTTGCCAACATATTAAACAATGTATAAAAACATATATTAATTACTATATCTAGTTCTAAATATGAGAGCTAGTTGACTAATTTGAGTAGATTAAACAAATAAGTTAAGTTATTTATTTGTAATAAATAGGTGTTGTCTTTCCTACAATATCACTATTAATCAAGTTTATTGGTTATAACTTGAAAAACAATAGACAAATATGAGAAATAAAGTAGATTGAAGTTTTATATTTAGGACCAAATAAAAGTCAAATGAGGTCTTATATTAAAGACATGATGTAGTAATTGTTAATATGTGTATATATAATTATAAAATATAAGATTATGTTTTTTGAAAAATAAATAATTGTTTTCAACCAAAAGAAATTACCGTAGGGGGTGGGGGAAGAACAGCTCAAAAAGCAAAATTTTGTTGTTTATTACAAAACTTTAGTTTTGATATGCAAACCATGGTTTCAAAAAATTGATGGGCGTTTAGGTTATTTTTTTCTCAAACCATGGTTTGGGCAATCACCCAAACACCTCCTGTCAAAAAAAATAAAATAAAATAAAGACGGTATCTTCTTTATGCCCCCTTTCGACCACATATCTCCTTCCACGTGTTTCATTCCCTCCCATAACATTACCATCAATAATTTATTTATACCCACAAAAACTTCACAAGCATACTCCTTCACAGAAAGGAGGAGGAGGAGGATACGGAGGAAGCTAAGTATAAGGTATAATTGAAAATTTTTTCCATTTTCGAATAGTTTCACCTCTCATAATATGGTAGGTTCGAATTTTTAGTAAAAGAAATACTCACATGTAGTGTCTAGGAGTATTTCAAATATGAACCTCCTCTAATCAAAAGATATCTGTACCAATCCTTCAAAATATAGAATTGATGGTTTGCCTACTTGTCTTCAATTCTTAAAAAACATTTAGAATTGTCTTATAAAAACTATCCGGATATTTTAGGCTCGTTGGAGTAGTAATGACTTGATTTGATTGGGGAACGTACGCATTTGAACCAGATTGAATTTTCAACAGGTCTTCATGAAACACCGAAATATTAGTTTTCCTGATAACATTGTACCTGCTCATTATTAATGGAAAGTTTAGGGTGTAACTGTTACTCCATTTTTGTATCGAAGCAGAAGCGGATTTTACAAAAATTCATGGTTAAATAGTGATGCTTTTCAGATTATGGATATTTTCTCTTATATTCACTACAAAAAAATTGACTTTCAGCGGCGACAAAAGTCGCCGTCGAAAGTTTTTTGCGGCGACAAGTCGCTGCTGAAAAGTCGTTGCCGTAGCAGCCGTGGCTAAAAACTTTCAGTGGCGACTAAAAAGGTCGCCGTTAAAAGATACTTTCAGCAGCGACTTTTAGAAGTTTCAGCAGCGACAAATGTCGCCGCCGAAAACACTTTCGGTGGCGACATTTGTCGCCGCTGAAAAGCATTTCAGCGGCGACAAAAAAGTCGCCGCAGAAGTCACCGCCAGTGTCACGTCATCGTCTCCGGCCGCCACGTCAGCACCGTCGACCTCCACATCATCTCCATCGGCGGCCACGTCATCACCACCGACTGCCACATCATCACTAGCCACCTCCACGTCATTGCCACGTCACTCCTCCTCGCCACGTCATCGTCTAAATATTTTCACCTTAAATGTGTCTTCTTCCAGGTTCGAACTCGTGACCGCCTCCCTTCGTGTCCAACCTTCTTGCCGCTGAGCCAGATTGAATTTGTTTATTAATATTGTAAAATAAAATATATATTATTATATTATACTTTCGGCGGCGACAAAAAAAGTCGCCGCTGAAGGTCCATTTTCGGCAATTTTTTTATTAATATTGTAAAATAAAATATATATTATTATATTATACTTTCAGCGGCAACAAAAAGAGTCGCCGCTGAAAGTCCACTTTCGGCGGCGACAAAAAAAGTCGCCGCTGAAGGTCCATTTTTGGCAATTTGTTTATTAATATTGTAAAATAAAATATATATTATTATATTATACTTTCAGCGGCGACAAAAAGAGTCACCGCTGAAAGTCCACTTTCGGCGGCGACAAAAAAAGTCGCCGCTGAAGGTCCATTTTCGGCAATTTGTTTATTAATATTGTAAAATAAAATATATATTATTATATTATACTTTCAGCGGCGACAAAAAGAGTCGCCGCTGAAAGTCCACTTTTGGCGGCGACAAAAAAGTCGCCGTTGAAGGTCCACTTTCGGCGGCGACAAAAAAAGTCGCCGCTGAAGGTCCTTTTTCTGCAATTTGTTTATTAATATTATAAAATAAAATATATATTATTATATTATACTTTCAGCGGCGACAAAAAAAGTCGCCACTAAAAGTCCACTTTTGGCGGCGACAAAAAAAGTCGCCGCTGAAGGTCCACTTTCAGCGGCGACACTTTTGTCGCTGCTGAAAGTCTTGGTTTCAATGGCGAACTTTCAGCGGCGACTAGAAAAGTCGCCGCTGAAAGTCGACTTTCGGCGGCGACACTTTTGTCGCCGCTGAAAGTCTTGGTTTCAATGGCGAACTTTCAGCGGCGACTAGAAAAGTCGCCGCTGAAAGTCGACTTTCGGCAGCGACACTTTTGTCGCCGCTAAAAGTCTTGGTTTCAGCGGCGACTTTTTTTGTCGCCGCCGAAAGTCGTCGCCTAAAGTCTATTTTTTTGTAGTGATTTTTATTATTTAATATTTATGGCTATTTTTTCATAATCTTTATTCAGCAACACACAAAAAATTATTTTTCACTTATGAGTTGTGTTTGCAATAAAATGGCTATATATGTAACGAAATTTTATTTAGCCAGTAAATTATAATAAATTTATTTTTATATGAAAAAAGTACAAAGAACAAAAAAGGCTGGCTGATCTATAATTAGGCAAGTTTTGATCAGTTTGGAATCAATATATATGTATATATATATGGATATATTTCATCATATCAGTTTAATACGCAATCCATGCAAGTTTGATAAGAGGTTCGAATTACTATGAAATTGGTAGTGACAGCTCAACTATAAAGAAGAGCAACGTGATAAAAAAAAGCTGGTGTAGTAAAGAATGTTAAGATGAATATTTGATCATATAAAAGATGATAAGTAATAACATATACCAAAAAAGGGGGAAAAAAAAAAGAGCCGGCGTCTATTGGAAAAAAATGGTATAATATCATTTAAGGTGGCAAGGATATGTACAAAACTGATCATCCGAGGCGCTGTTAAGGAGATCTTGAATAGATAGTTTGAGTCCTTTTTGAAGTTTGATAGAACGAAGACAAAAAAAAGAAAAAAGAAAAACAACATTAAAAAAAAGATGCTGTTAAGCGATACCTTTTAGTAAATAATACTCCTTCGGTTCTTAATATAGGACCCAATTCTTGAGTTAGTTTTAGTCTTAAATATAAGACCAATTTCTCATATTTATCAACTTTCTCTAAATTACCCTTATGGATACTCTCTCAATCATAATCAAGTAGAAAAGAGAGATGTGGTATTAAGAAAGATGATTATGGTGTTTTAGGAAAAATGTGTCATTTTTCTTATAATTAACTAACTTACCTAACTTCCTTAATTTAATCAAATTAGTTAAATGGGTCCTATATTAAGGACCGGAGGAGTACTACCTCTTATTTTTAATATAAGACCCAATTGACTAATTTGAAAAAATTAAAAAAGTTAATAAATTACATTAAAGTTTTTACATTTATCATTTTTCTCCAAACTAATTTGATTCACTTTTATTTTATAACTTGATATACCATCTAATGATACACATCAGTATTTTAAAAAAATCATGTAACATATACTATAATTAAGTAATTTAGTAACTCTTTTAATCTCTCTAAATCAATCAATTGGGTTTTATATTAAGATTGGAGGTAGTACATCTGAGGAAGGTGATTATTGAGACGGATTCAACTGTGATTGCTTTAGGTTATGTTTGATTCAATGAAAGAAAGAGGAGGGGGGTTTTAATAGAGGGAAGGAGAGGGAAGGAGAGTGGAAGGATTTTAATATTATTTTGTTTGGATTTATAACAAAAGAGGGAAGGGGAGGAAAAAATATTTTAGTATGGACAATTTTGCTCTTATTTTATTTAAGATATGGGCATAATGGTCACAATATGACAGAATATGAACATAATAGTCACAACATGACAAAATATGGACATAATAGTCATAATATGGAAAAATATTACCCTTTCCCTCCAAATCCTCCCAATTTTGGAGGGGAGGCTGAGGAGGAGAGAGGAGGAAAAATTTTAAAAATTTTTTCCTCTCCTAAAATTTGTGTATTGCCAAACAAGGAAAAATGATTAAAATCCCTCCCCTTTCTTCCAAATCGCTCGTACCAAACACACCCTTAATGTTATTAGGGCAGTAAAATCCTCTAGTAGTAGCAAAGTCACTTGCAACAAGACACTCTATCACGTGACTGTTTTGTAGATATTTTCAAATGAGCTTTTACACTGTGCCGTTGCCTTCAATATTTTATTGTTTGCTCTAGCAACTTAGAAAATAAGAAATCTTTAGCTTACAAAAATAAAACGTGAAAGGTGTGGATCCATGCATTTTAGAATCCAAGATAAGCTCGAAACAAGGCGGCTCTCTCTCTCTCTCACACAAAAATAAAACATGAAAGGGTGTGGATCCATGCATTTATTTAGAATCCAAGATAAGCTCGAAACAAGGCGGCTATCTCCCTCTCTGTACCCCACCCTCACCGCCAGGCTTATTTAAGGCTCAGCCAAATGAGGTCATCGCATGTATCCTTAGTTCCTAACTTAGCCGTACGTCAACATGATGAACCTGTTGCTCCTCAAGTCTTTTTTGATAGCTGCTTCAGCTTCTGCTTGTGTTCATCATGAATTCAAATATGTTCATCCATCTCTAATATTTTCTTGCTTCTCTGCGTCATTCCTCCTAACCCTAGCCATTTTTCATCACTTGAAGAGACAGCCAAGCAAAGTATACTTAGTAGACTTTGCCTGCTACAAACCAAACGATTCTTGTGCTCTCACCAAGGAAATGTTATTGGAAACACTAAAGAGCTTTGGAGTTTTCTCAGAGGAGAACGTGAGACGAATGGGGAAAATTTTGGATAAGTCTGGTTTAGGATCTAAGACGTACATCCCTCGAGCTCTAATGCAGAACCAACCAAAAGTATGTCTGATTGAGGCAGGGAAGGAGGCAGAGACTGTGCTTTTCGGAGTCATTGATGAACTTCTGGAGAAAACATGGGTCCACCCAAAGGATATAGGAATTCTTGTTGTGAATTGTAGTACGTTTTGTCCCACACCATCTCTCTGTGACATGATCGTGAATCGATATAAACTCAAACACAACGTTTTGTGCTATGATCTTAGCGGCATGGGGTGCAGCGCTGGAGTTCTTGCTATTGACTTTGCCAAACGCCTCCTCCAGGTTCTTCATATTCTTTTTCCAAATAATCTAATTGCAAAAGAAACAAGAAAAAAAACAAAACACATTTCAGAAGTTAGGGCATTGCAAAAGGCATTATATGGAGGGATGTTAGAGGCCCCAAACCCTAAAACGAACTAGGCTAGTTGCTATGTAATCAAACAACTTGATTATTTTGCGTACCTATCTAACTTGTACACCTTATTGTTATGCTTTGGCAGTCACACCCGAGCTCGTATGCCATGGTTTTGAGCACTGAAAATGCAATTATGGGGACGTACTTGGGAAACGACCCTTCAATGCTTCTCATCAATTGTCTCTTTCGCATGGGTGGTTCTGCTTCTCTTCTCTCCAACCATCCTTTAGATCGTCATCGTTCCAAGTACCAAATCATTCACACACTTCGCACCCACATGGCTTCCGATGACAGAAGCTACAACTGTGTGTTTCAACGAGACGATGACCAGAAAATAATTGGTGTTTCCATCTCAAAAGACCTCATGAACGTTGCAGGTCACGTCCTCAAGTCTCACATCACATCGCTCGCCCCATTGGTCCTTCCTGTCTCAGAAAAACTCAAGTTTCTTGTAAACTCTGTCGGAAGGAAGGTTTTGAGATTGAAGATTGAAGCTTATGTTCCGAATTTCAAGTCGGCTTTTGAGCACTTTTGCATTCACACTGGAGGAAGGGCAGTGTTGGATACGATGCAGAAGAGTCTTGAGCTTCAAGACTGGGACGTGGAACCTTCAAGAATGACACTTTATGGGTTTGGGAACACATCTTCGAGTTCAGTGTGGTATGAATTGGCTTACTGTGAAGCCAAAGGAAGAATCAAGAAAGGTGACAGAATCTGGCAATTAGCATTTGGGTCAGGGTTCAAGTGTAACAGTGCAGTGTGGGGTGCATTGGACAACGTTGAAGCAGGTTCACTGAAGAATCCATGGAATGATGAGATTCATAAATTCCCTGTTAATGTGGTTGGAGAGGGTACCTCCCGTTAGTTAAGATATATGTCGGTCAATACTAGCTAGGAAGTTTGGTGTATATATATGCAATCCTATTAACTATTGTCCTAATTATTATGGTTGGGTCGCTATGTTGTGCTATAAAAATATGTTACTGTTTTGTGGAATAAAGACTTGTGGCTTTGATGGAATTGAGGAGAAAATGAAAATTGATGATATTGTTGATTGGTGTGTGATCCCTTAATTAGCTGCAAATCAATCTTCTATATTCTTCCCACTAATCTTTCATTTGGTCTTTAATTTTCAACATACCCTTGATTATATTCAACTACATAAGAAAAATATTTCCTCCAGCTCTATTTAAAGGCCACTCATATGCTTCTAAACATGAAGACTTTCTAAAGGGGTCCTTTGTCTCGTCATTCTCCCCCAGTAACTATATAAAAACAATAGAAATTAAAAAGAGAGACACTGCAGAAGTTTACGATGAGGATTTCGCATTTTCTAGATAATTGACTGCTAGAAGTGGGAGACAATGGGGAGAAACCACCCTAATTCTTTTCGATGAAAGCATGGTGAGAAATGAATTTTCATTTTCTAAATTTTATTAAGAGTAATTATGAAAAACTACAAAAGATTTTGACGCTTAATTAATTTTTTTAAATTTTTGTACTAGATATATACTTACAATAGGGCCTTGGAAGAATAAGTATATATTAATACATCATTAGCAGAGTTGACACCCAAAGTTGACTTTCTTTTCATGAGAGCGTAGTTTCTGAACTCAATTCATTGAAAAGGCACTTTAAACAGTGAATATAGTGGCAAAAGTTTATATTGGTAAGCATGAGGAGCATATGGATCCCACATACTAACAACTCTAATTTCATTATATAGAAGCCTTAAAGCAAATTATAGATTTATTCATTTATTCATATAACAACCTAACCTTCGATTATTAATATTATGTATGATTAAAATAAAAAAAAAAGGTCTAGCCACATCCAACTATAATCAGAGGTCAATTTGAATTTTCTCAGTAGTGGCAATCATTGATGAAATATCGACGCTTACAAATTAAACTTTTAATTTGCCAGCAGCAACCAATCGCTAATGAGATGTTTAGACAGGAGATGCGGGGAAAAAAAAACCAGGATCAAAAGAAGGTTGTTTCATTTCACTCATATGAATGTTTGAGTTTATCATGGTCAGGGAAAATTGTGGTAATGTAAAAAATATTCCCTTGGAATTTTAACCTTCCTCGCGTAAATTTTCTAGCCCTGTGCTGACTTGAGAATGTTGCGAATATCATAACTGGATAACTTAGAGATATGAACTAAATTTAAGGCATTAGAATTACAAGAAAGGCTTTTGTCAATTACAAATTTCCGTGAGGCTGTGAAAGTAACCTTGGAATTTTTGAATTATTTGTCATGATTTGTTGATGAATTCTTTACGAAGAGCCTCAATTCACTTAATCTAGATGAGATTGAGTAAGATGATCGGTCATTTTAACATTGTCGCGTTGCGGTCAGAAAATAGCTGATGCACTGTTCTACAAAGCGATGCAAGAAAGCCTTGTGCGGAATAGTCACCTAATTAAACAGCAAAAATAATGCACCAAAAATAGACGGCCTTTACATAAAGGCAAGAGTACAGGAGATGATCAACTGTTTCAACCGTATGATAACCAAAGACATAGCCAAGTTGTACATTTAATGATGCTTTCTCAGCACCTTTCTAACAGTCATTGCAGAATGGACTGGTTTCCAAATAAATAGGAGTTGTTTGAGGCAGATGGATATTTCATATGAAATCGCAACGTTTTAAATGGAATGAACTGCTTCATCATAGCATTCTGAATAGACAAAGTATAGTCCTGTTTAACGCTGTACTTGCCAATGATGTCACATTACAAAGTGAGATAGGTGTTCAAAGAATGATAACAACCACCGCTAAACAGTATGTGGATTTAATTAGAGGCGCGTTCCAAGAATGTGAGAGTCAAGAGTTAGGATTATGAATAGAAACTTCAGAGATACTTTAATTTGAATCCTAAGCCGTGGATTGATGAGTCATAGGCCGCCAAAGGTTGTGATCTAAGAGAATATACATATATATATAGAGAGAGAGAGAGGGAGAGAGAGAGTCTTCTAAGACAACTTGTCAACGAAGGTGTTGAAAAATGAGATTAGATCATTCCAAAATTTCTTTCAAAACCAAGAAGCATTATAAGGCCTTTTCAGCTTACAACTCGAAGAGAGATCCAAATATTTTAATCTCAAAGTGTTGGTGAGAAGAGAGTGAGGTTTAGATAATAGAATCCTTCAAATTTGTTTGGCCAATAAAATTAGATTCATGTGAGCCGTAGATCTGATACCTAAGCCACTATTGCTTCTAGAAGTGAAAAGTAGACTCTTCTTAACCAGGTGAATTCTTGGTTTTTTATCATCTTATCACTATAAAAAAAATCAACAAGTCTAGAATCAATTATAGTTGTTAGTATTAAGGGACGTCTGAATGAAAACCAAATCATGATTTTAAAAATAATTTTATGAAATTTGAGGTAAGTATATGAGAAGAGTTTTGTCTCGACTTATATGAAAATATTTTTTTTAAAATACTTCCAAGAGCTCCCAAATACTCCCTGACTTTTTACAGGTTTGAAAGAAATATTTATTACTCATTTTCAAAAATATCCTTATTTTTTGTTCTTCTCAGCGAACTGTGAAAAATAGAAAAAGATATGCACGGTTTAAAATGAGGACTTGCCACCTTCTGCCTTGGATAATTGACTCCAAAGTATTTGAGGGATTGAAAAGAAGCCACCATTTTTTCAATGAAAGTTTTGTGGAAAAGGAATTCTATTCTTTTTAACTTGATGAGACTTGAGAGTAATTCTGAAAAATTATAAAATATTTTGATGCTTAACTAATTAATTTTAACTAACAATTTGTTAAATCTAAATCTAAATATATAATAATTAATGACAAAACGTGGCCCATTTTGAACGAAAATTATTAGAAACAAAACAAAATATGCACTACACATCTTGCAGAGGCTCCATTATCAAATGCCTCTATGAATCTCACTACACAATTGGGCCAACACTTAGGATCTATAACCTCATTCTCTTGGGCTTCAGAAACCCACCTTTTCATTTTAGACTTGCTTTAAACAGAAAAAATTGGGGGAAAGTCCCTTTAACAATTTTATTAATAAAATTCTTTTCCGATAATTTTAATACACAAAAACTACTGGTTGGTTTGCAAATTTTGTACCCACAGAGTATCAGTGCTGTTGTCACAAATTAATATATCAGTACTCTGATTTAAACTCTTCTCACTAATAAAATTTTCAATGCAGACCCCCCCCCCCCAAATTTTTCACTTTTAAATATTGCATCAGTTAAATTCTAAAAAAAAATGCTTTAAATGTGTAAGTAATATTTTCTGGCATGCATGTTTACGTAATATTTCTTCATGCATCCCTCGTAGTATGTAGGCATATGTCACTTTTATGTCCACATAAGATTATTTCGTTTTCCTAGCTTTATATTCAAAAGACATGTTAGTCATTTAAACTCTGAGCAACATGAATTTAATTTGCTAATGAATCTATATAAACTACAGAGTTTAAAATACTACTACTTCCAGTCCTTACTATAAGAGCTAGTTGACTAATTTGAGCAGATTAAGGAAATTAGTTAAATTAGTTATTTATAATAATTAAATAGATGTTGTCTTTCCTAAACCGTCTTTGTTAATTAAGTGTATTGACTAGAATTATCATTAAACTATCTTAGAAAAAAATAGATAAATATGAGAGACAAGGTGGATTGAGGTCTTATATTTAAGACTAAAATAAAAGTCAAACAGGCTCTTATATTAAGAACTAGAGGTACTATATTTCAAAGTTAAAGAATATCTTATTCAACTATAATTATATATATTATCGACACTTCACCAACTATTAACCTCAAACGTACATATATAGAGAATTCTCAAGCGCCATTGCTGCTTAATTAATTAACCTTCAACATCAACATGATGAACCTATCATATTACGTTCTTTGCATTTTTCCTCCTAATAAGCCTAGCCATTTTTCTTCACTTATGGAGACAGCCAAGAAAAGTCTTCTAGTGACGACTTTTTTGCCACATAAAATCGAGTTTCAGCCGCGACTTTTTAAAATTGCAGCAAAAAATCACCCCGAAAAGTCTATTTTTATTTATTTTTGTAGTGGGTGAATGAAACCAAAAGCCACTCTTAAAGATTTTAGAAAAATTTGGTTTGAGATTTGGAGGCCGAGATCCCACCTAAAGTTGTCTTTGGTTGAGGCAAGGAAGGAGACAGAGACTTTACTGTTTCTACCAAACTCCTATGAATAAATTTGAACATTTCATTATCAATTTCTTGCACACTTTTGTCATAGAATTTGAGATTTTTTTTTGCCAATATGAAATTTGAGAATTTTGACTCCTTTAACTGTAATCTTTTGATGAAAAGTATTCGATATCACTAATGCAAGAGATCACCATAATATAATATCAAGATGCATGGTGTGTATTAAGCGTTGCTTAAAAAGCAGATGATATATATGCAATATAATCTCTTGATTGTGAGTATCATAATCCTATGAATAACTTTGAAAAATTCATTATCAATCCCTCGCATTTGTTTTTTGGCTAAGCACATGATTCTCTTGTTGAAGGTAATTATATTTCAGATATTGTTGGATACTAATTAAGTATCAGGATTTGAGATCTCGAGTAGAACAGTGAAGGCAAAAAAGTAATTAGGTTTTGTTTCATAGACAAAGTATTGAAAATCAAGCTCCTCCTTTGTTTTTCATTTTTGGTAGGGATCACTAATTTAGAGATTCTGTTACATCTGCTCCTTCCCCACCATTCTCCAGACATTCTCCTCCTCCCTTCGGTTTCTCCTCCTTCTCGTTCGTGAAGGTCCACTTTTCAGTCAAACTCAATTCTACTTGGGATTGATTTTAGCAAAGGGCTGAAGAAGGTTAAAAGACTCAATAAATTAAAAAAGGAAAAAAAAAATTTAAGGAAAACTATAGAGATCTCCAAATTAGTTCTTCCATTCTGTTATTTGTAATTCCTTTACGTTTTGATATAAATCCATCCAGTCACTTTTTTTATACGAAGGAAAAGAAAAAGAAAAGAAAATTAAATGGGCCAAATCAAGTCTGAATATGATATACAGTGTGGGATTAAATTTGAAATCATATACTAACAAGCTACTGGCTCCAGTAAGAAAAACACAAGTTCGAATCACTACAAAAAAAATTGACTTTCAGCCGTGGCTAAAAACTTTTAGCGACGACTAAAAAAGTCGCTGCTAAAAGATACTTTCAGGGGCGACCTTTAGAAGTTTCAATGGCGACAGACACTTTCAGCGACGCAAATAGTAATGCCTAACAAGAATATGCTTTACCAACACCACGTTATTATCGCCGACCGCCACGTCATCATCACCGGCTGCCACGTCATCACTAGCCACTTCCACATCATTGCCACATCACTCCTTCCCGTCACGTCATCGTCCAAATATTTTCACCTTAAATGTGTATTCTTCAAGGTTCAAACTCGTGACCACCTCCTTTCGTATCCAATCTTCTTGCTGCTGAGCCAGATTGAATTTGTTTATTAATATTATAAAATAAAATATATATTATTATATTATACTTTCAGCGGCGACATTATAAAGTCATCGCTGAAAGTCAGACCTTCAGCGGCGACCATAGAATGTCACCGCTGAAAGTGAATCTAATGATTCTCAAGGTATACTTTCAGTGGCAAAAAAAAAAAGTTGCCGCTGAAAGTCTTAGTTTCAGTAGCGAACTTTCAACGGTGACACTTTTGTCGCCACTGAAAGTCTTAGTTTCAGTCGCGAACTTTTAGCCTTGACTTTTTTTGTCGTCGCCTAAAGTCTTTTTTTTTTTGTAGTGAATTCTGAAAAATCTATTTGTTAGGAGAATTTTAATCTTAATACTTTCGGCCCGACAGAGAGTAGTCTTACACCCAAAATGACTTGATAATACTTTGATAAATTATACAAAAAAAAAATGGAAAGACATGAAAACGTGCAGTAACAAATTTTCAGCTGTGCAATAAAAGAATATCAATATGTTTATATTTCCTTATTCGATATATCCTATCAAGACACTAGCTTTTTAATTTTCCTCACATATTTTGTTATATATTTAAGTTTTAATTTAAATACGTACTATATTATTTTGATAAGATATATAAATCAAAGGGCAAGATGTAATTTTCCATTAAATAAGATGTCATTACATATTAAAAACTATAATGAATAAAAGACATTATCTTTTTTCAAAAAAACAATAACCACACATGAAATTTGGATATGTTTGGGGTGGCAATTCATATGGGTTACAACATGAGTTTAAACGTTATTTTTATGGTCAATAGGTCATTTAAAATGTGAGCAATAAGAATTTAAAAAGAACAAGTGTTGACAAATACCATAAAGGATGACCTGTCTTCTTATTTGGGAAAA